GAATCCAGTTGTTACAGAAGATACTGAAACATAATTGAAAGTGACAAATGATCAACTGGAGATTGGGAAAGCATTAAGTAGAAAACTGTTTGGTTCAGGGGCTGCATAAGATACAGATACATAAATATTTCTAGATTTTAAGTTAAACTTTCAAAGTCATTGATAAGAAGATGGAAAAATATGAAAATTCCAAAATTCACTGATAATGTACTTCCTATTTTATTTTTCCATTTTGCCATGGTTCTCCTTGTATAATATGAAAGGAGTTTTAAAGAAACACAGTCATGAGACCAAAAATTTAAGTTTCATAGCATTTTATAATCAAAGAGTAATGATATCATATTCATCTCTTTTATCTGTCTTTGTAAACAACATAACAATAACACAGAACACAGAACAAGACTAGAGAACAAGTGCCTGCTAGAGTGTCCTTTTCTTGCAGGTTTTAAATCTGATTTTAAACAGTTATTTAGCCTGTCAGAACTCTCAAATCCCTCTGTAAATTAATCTCATTGGTTTGGAAATTTATATTTCTTGAAAGTCATATCCTGGTTGCTGGGAATTCATAAACTCGACATTGTAGTCAAAGGAAAAACATTTTCTTTATAGTATCTTACTAATCTTTGTGGAAGATTTTAATTTTCAGCTTTTAGTGAAATGTTACTTGCAAATGATGTATAATTTTCTTGTAACTGCCCATGCAGTTACATTTGTTTGCCCTCATTTTTTAATAGATTAGTAGTAAATGCACACAGTGGAAAAAGATAAAGTTATAAAAAGTAAAAGTCATCTGAAACCAACCACCCATAGATAACTTCAACAAATGTTCTTTGTTTATGTCCTTTCAGATCTTTTATTTTTGTAAATCCACTACCCATTTCTATGTTCTTAAACTTATATATCCATGTACATGGATGGATCTACTATTACTTAAGAACTAGGATTTTACTGTATCTGTTACTTTTAAGTTGCTTTTTAAATTCAAGCTACATCATGGATCCTTTTCTATGTGTGTATTTATACAATTTCACATTATATTTCTTTGAAGATATGACATTTCCAAACTGTTTCCTTACTTTTGATCATTGCACTTATATCATTCTTGTTCACTGTTATAAAAATCACATTATAATACATTTTTCTCAAGAAGTTTTAAGAATGTATTTTTCTGAATTCGCAGTGTATCGTTGCATCCATTGGAATGTACACTGTGTCCTGACAAGGTCAGTTTAACTGTACTTCTGGAACCATGATCTCCTCTGAGGATTCCTATAAACTCTACTATTATAATTAAAAAAAAATCCACTTAAGTTGAAAACTGGTAACTGATTATTTTCTTTAAGAAGAACTAAACTGTTCCCAATATTTCTTTTTTTTTTTGTATTATTCACAAAAGGAAGGTTAGATAGTTTTTGGTTTTTTTTTTTAAGGTGCATTTATGTATGCACACAGAGTTGGGATGTAGGCCAGAGGCGTGGGAGTAGTGAGAGGATTCACCAGAGACAGAGTGGGGAGCACAACAGGCAGATTGATGATATACACTGCTGAGGGGAGCAGCAGGTGGTTCAGGAGAGGTCTGCCATGCCATGTGGGCCACCTCCCTGGCTGGGGTTTGAACTCGTGCTGAGGCAGCTTCATAGTGCAGCTCTTCAACCCATTGTGCCACCAGGGAGGGCCTATGTTAGAGAATTTTAATAACTTCTTGGTATGACCCAAATTACTCCACTTGGTCAAAGGCAAATTCCTCTTTGATTTTAAACATGAAAGAAGTCAGGATTGTGTCTTTGCAGTGTTAACATTATATAGTCCTGTGTTATTTACAATAAGGTCTTTTGATAATGGCTTTTAGATTGCAGTAGGAAAAGTTCCAGAATTTTTAAGATCAGAGTCCAAAGCAAAATGCTGTCTTCATAGAAATAGCAAAGGGATGCTTTTACTGAATTTCCTCCACTAACTCATGTAGGCAGCATCCCAAACTCAAGCAGCCATTGCTTTGTAGAAGACAAACTGCATCTGTAATCTGTGTGACAGGACCAAACTTCCATGTCATCACTTCCACCAGCTTTATTTCAGGAAAACATTGCATGAGCAATAAAAACAACATCATCAGGTCAGCAAAGTCTTCAATAAGAATTTTTTTAAATAAAGTTCAAACTAGGAGTTAGGCATTGTTTTATAGCACTTTGCATTTATCCAAAATTTTGCAATGGATGAGTTTTCGCTTAATGCAATGAAATTAATTGCAGTGCTAGTTGACCTAGGGACAATAATTTAATGAGCTTTTTTTTTTTTCTCCTCCAAACTGGGAAGGTAGAAAGTGTGTCTTTCATCTATTGCATTTACCCAATCAGGTTTTCTCTCTCCACATTTAGGGCTACCAGAAAAAGTCATAGTTACAACATGATGGTATAGAAAGGCTCATGGAAAAGAAAAAGTAGATGAAGCCTGTAGTAGTGATAGTAGTAGTAGATGAAGGCTCTGTAGTGTGAGTTACAGATTATAAAATTAGAAACAAATATTCATCATAAATTGCTTGTTGCTCCACTCTTTGAGCTATAGCCTCTAAATTGGGTTACTAACTAGTACATGTGTGATCTCAGAATTGCCCATCAATGGTTAGTGTCTCTATTGCCCAGACTCTCATATACGACTGGTCCTCACTGAAGCTTAACAGCAATATTCCTGTTTAATTTTTGACCCTCTTCCTTTTTCTTCTCCTCCCTGTAACTTCCAGATTTTGAATGTTTAATATATGCCAGGCTTTATGTTGGATGTAATTTAAATACTACCATTTATCTTCAGAATATTCAGAACCAATAATAAAGATACTGAGTTAAGTAATCTTCCTTTTCTAGATGAAGAAACTGAGACTCAGAGAGACAAGGTGACCTCAAGGATTTACTGCCCAATGATACTGTTCTTATTACTTAGCCTTTTTAATCCTCAGTTACTAATCTAATAGTAAAGTAGGAAAAAAAATGTTTATAAAGGTTGACTGTGTGGTGGGTACTGTAAGTATTTAGTCTCTACAACAACCCAACAAGGCAGGTGTTATTGCTTCCATAGTATTGAAAAGAAACGTACAAATTAATAAGGTAAAACTCATTATGCAGGAGCACAGGCTAGTGAATCAAGGAACAGAAATCATAGAGGTTTCCATGAATTAATCCATTTTAATCCTAAATATAGTGCTCAGCACATAGAATGTATTTCATTTACATTCCAGCTGTCTTTTAACAATCAGTGGCAGTATCAATAATTGAACTAAGAAATCTGACTTCAAGCCTATGTCTCATCTTTAACTTTTAATTCTACAAAAGTGATTTACAGGTGGTTTATTGCTGCTGCAGGATAACATAAAGATGTCAATTCCTCTCCTTAAACTGTGTGTGTGTGTGTGTGTGTGAAAGACTTATAGCTGATGATATTTTATGATGATTACTATGTATTTTCTTACGTGAAATGACTTTCATTTTTCAGTTTTGGAGGGTTCTATTGGTGATAATCTAGCTCAATTTTTTTTTTGCTCAACCATGTCCAACCTACTAATTGTGCCATTAGAAGCATACTTCATTTCTGCTACAGTGTTTTAAATCTCTGTTGCTTCTTTTTGGTTCTTAGGATTTTCATCTCTCTGCTTATGGTGCCTGTCTCTTCTTGTATGATAACTGCTTTATGAATTACTTAGAATTTTAGCAATAATTGTAGACTTCCTTGTCTGATAATTCTGAAGCTTGCTCACTCTTGTCAGTGTGTGTGTGTGAGTGTGTGTGTTTGTCCGTCCCCTTTGGTGTCTTATTTTCTCTACATAGGTAGACATTATGTACCAGTAAACTACTGTAGATAAACCTTAGTTACTGCACTGGTGAAATGTAGGGGAAGGGGGAGCCTGTTATAATCGGTGATCAGTTTCTCATGTTTTGTAGGGAGCCTGTCCCTCTAGATCGTAAACTTCAGTGTTTTGCAATTTCTTTTAGGTGGAGCAGGATGGCTAGAATGGACTTAAGTTGGGTATTTTCCTTCCCCAGCTTAGCTAGTCTCAGATAATACTTAGTAGGTCAGGTTCTGTTTACCTAATTTCTCCAGTGGGTAGATGTTGTTAAGAAGAACACTGCTCTGATGAATTTCAGAAGAGTTTAGTTCTCCTTTCTCTACTGGAAGCACCAGGGAATTTTGTCCTTGACACTGAGAGAATAAAGGTTCTAGAAGGAAATCTCTCAAAAATAGCTGGGAGCCTCCTCTGTAACTTATCCCAGTATCCCAAAGTGAAATTTTCCTACTTGATATTTTCTGGGAGGAAGTCTAAGTTTATGTGGGGAAAAAAAAAGCATATATAGACTCCCTCAAAGACGCTATAAAATCATACCAAAAAGGCAAAGTCTACTTTTTCAGATGGTGGTGGAAGCCTTCAACTGGTTCCCTTGGCTTCAGAGATTCATCAGTTGCAGCTCAGGTGTTTTTTTTTTTTTTTGCCCAAGTCCTGATTCCATGGAGGCCCCACTGGTGACCCTGTCCCATAATATTGATACTCGGCATTTGTCTGTCTCTACAGAAATGTGGGGTCAGTACTTTGACCATCTCCCCACTCTTAGGAATCCTAGAAAATCTGTTGATTTTTCAACTTGCTCAGCTTCCCCTTATTTGTTCAGATGGGGTGGCAACATCCAGGCTCTTTCCTATAGAGCTGGAAATTGAAGTCCAGTTGTTCATGTTTGGGCAAAAAAGAGAATTTAAAGGTCATAGACATATCTTTCCACATGGTATTGATTGCTTTGCATGACTTCAGCACACAGTCATCTTTATAGTTCCACAGACCAATAGCCTCTGTAAATGTTGATTTCTGATTTATAAAATATTTTTCAAAATACAGTGGTTGCTCTTTTTATCTCTGATATTAGCTTTGCTTCTCATATGTAAATTAAAAGGGAAAAAAGCCAGTTTTGTAGCACTGCATTGTCCTGGTGGTGACTTCCTTTTGTTGTTTTACTTTATTTTCCTAGTGCGGTTGCTTCTCGCCTCTCTGTCAGGACAAGCCGTTCAGGCTACGTGACCAAGTCCACACTTTCAGCTGTAAACCTTGTCAGTGCCTTGGCCATGCCAGATGCTGCCACGACAACATCTCCCTGAACCCTGTTCCTGTTGAGCACCACAGAGGGGACGACCGTGCCTGTGAGGACGGTGAGCACTACATGACAGGTCACTAGCAAGTCACGCAAATGAATAGCAGAGGCCTTCGAAGCCCATGCACTTGTCTCTACAATGCATATTATTTTAAAATATGTGACTGAGAGGCTGATGAACACCTGAACCTTATATAACGACCTAATCCAATGTGATGCCAGTCAATCAATCAGTAGTAAGAAGGAAGTGCTCTTATCCTCTTAGGTTTGAAAGCCAAAGCTGCTTCATCAGGGCTCATAGCTCCATGTAATTAGGTAGTGCTCTGATTTCAAACTGTGTCTTTTATTAAAGTTTAGAGACTTTTATTGAATAAGGAACAGTGAACATATTTTGGAAAGCCAGGAATCTAGCTTGAGTTTATGTATTCTTAAAATCAGTTTTCGTGTGTGACCCTGATCTTTCAGTATCAATTCTCACACAGATGTTTCTGTTCATTCTGATTCACAATGGACTCATACTCTGAGAATATTTTTTCTAAATGCCAATACAGTGCAAAAGATGCTTATTAAAATTTTATTCTTATCCAGCATTTTGAATAGTTACTGAAAATTTAACTTTTCAAGGACTAGTGGTTAACAACAGAAGTAGGTAACATCTGAGTTTATAAAATATAATGGCCCAAGTCCTGGGTTCGATAGTGTGCTGCTTTGGAACAGGAATGAATTTATTCAATGATTATTGATGACCTAAAATGTCACAAGAACTTGGCTAGATGTTGGGAACATGAAGATGAACAAGATGATGAATTTTCCTGTCTTCGTGTGGGTAATGATATAGTGGGAAAGGCATACTGCTAGAGGAGCAGCTGCAGAGTTGTCTGGCTAGTGCTGGTATAGGACAAGTATGGTAGGAATTAACAGGTGAGGCAGTAAGAGAGATGGAAGTGAACAAAGGTTTGCAGTAAGAGAAACAATTGTACAGCGACCTCCCAGGAAGAGAAACTGGGCGCTCTTTGAGAACTGATCCAGGAACAATGACAGATCATAAGAAAAGGTGTTGAGAAGAAAGGCAGAGGCCAAATTGGAAGACTCTAAATCACGATAAAAAGTCCTTTTTATCCTCAGGTTAATGAGATGACACTTAAGGGTTTAATACAGGAACGTGACATACTAAGCTTTGTGTTTTCAAAAGATCTGTCTAGCTATAATGTAGAGAATAGCGAGGGTTGAAACCATGAGAAATAACTTCACAGACGGATCCCTCGATAGTAAAGATGAGAACTAATGCAGTTGTGCTTTTAAGAAAAGGTGGGTAGAGGGAAATGGATCCAGGATATGTTGAGGATGGATCATGCCTGTGTTCTCTGAGCAGGCAGGAGGTACATGTAAGTAAGGAGAGGAAGAAGGGTCAAAATTCACACTAATACTGCAGTGTAAGCAACAGGCTTGACATTGGCACCAGTCATGGGCATGGGGGAAGATGGTGAGTTCTGTTTTGGAGATGTTTGCTGTATATTTCCCAGGGACTTAACTGGAAATTCTCTTGTAGACAGTTGGAAACACAATTCTAAACTCCATTTTTAGGAAACCTGTAATGACCAGGATTCTGTGTCTACTTACTGGCACCTTAGGTTATCAGTTACCTGTAGCTATTTAATGAGAATTCCTCTGATCCTTTAGACAGTAGAAAGGTCTGTGAGAGGAGGGATGGGGCTTTGCTCACTACTGTATTCCTCGGCGCTCAGCGCAGCGCTGGCAACATGGTAATCATGCAATAAATATTCATTGAATTATAAATAAAGGAGAGATTTCTAGATTGGAGATATAAATTTGGGAGTCATCAGCATATGCAAATGAAAATATTCTAGAAATATTATAATCTATTTAATTTTTAATTAGTCCATAGCCAATATACATCAGAATGTGAGTTTTAACTTGATTAAGTTATTTCCATAGTCTTCCAATACTGGGCCAATGTCAACAATATTTGAGTGGCGTGCATAATATCTAAAGGGCAGATTGACAGCTTTATTGCAGTGGCCTTGTATGTTTAGAAACATTAACTTTAGAAACTTCCTTTAATTTAGTTTTTTTTTTCTTATCAAGGCAACACTTCTGAATAAAAAAAATAAATATAGCCTGTAAAATTACATATGACTTTTATTATAGACTTCCCCACTATTTAACATGAAATTCATTTGGTATATCTAATACAGTTAATCTCTATTTGATCTTAAAAATGAAAAATAGTGACTGAACACTAACAAAAGCACTTGCTTTTATCTTGTGTACTGGAGAAAAATAGAAGCTACTAAGAACAGTCTCCTATTTTATAACATTCAGTTCTAGAAACATTTCTAAGACTACATATCTACTTGCTTCTAAATGTGTAACTCTTTCTACCACACATCTGGAAGTTTCTCACATTTGATTTACATTAAATGCCTGGTCCTTAGAAGTAAAGGCAACTTTGAGGTGTAGAAAGACACTCTCTCAAAATGGATGGGTCCCTGCAAAAAAGCACAGCATTTTAGAAGTGCAGTGTTATGTAACAGATGGGAGTTTAATGAAGTAAAGCACAGTTTGTAGCAGGTTCATTGTTTCATATGCTCTGGATCACTAAATTGGCAGGTAGAGATGAAAGGTGCATTAAAATGGACGTCCCGGAAATTATAGAATTCTCTCAAAGGAATATAGTCTTTAATTTTGAATTATGCAGCTGATTTTAATGAATTGGTAGTCATAATGCATAACCTTTCCCTCACACAGGAAGAAATTGCGAGATGTGTAAGGATTACTTTTTCCAACAAGTTGGTACAGATCCTTCAGCCATGGATGTTTGCAAATCCTGTGATTGTGATAAAGTTGGTGCTAGAAACAATTTCTTTTTTGATCAGGTGAGTTCTCTTCTGAAGATAAAGAATTGCTTTCCTTTCAGAAACTGATGTGGGAGAGGTTCTGCCAATGAAACTGAAGGCCTTGTTGAACAAGAAGTCCTCTGTGTGTTGGCATTTCAAAGAGATAGACACTTTAGGCATGTTCCGGTGCAAACTTTAGTAAATTCTTACTAACGTCCAGATAGGTGGCCATTTGCACATATGAGAGGCTCCTTTTATTTTTAATTTTACAGTTTTCCAAAATATGGGGAGGAACAGGTTTCTAAGTAAACTGGTAAGTACACTGAGTATGTGTCTTAGAGTTATTGGGAGTCGATATTAAGACGTGATAGTAGGACTTACCTAAAAAAAAAAAAAATCCATTGATTTTTTTTTGCACTTAGCTCCAAATGGAAATTGTGTTAACCCTATTTCTAATCTTTTTTAAATTTCAACTTTACTTAACAGTAAAATGGATTTTCATAATTCTGTACAGTTTTATTACCACCATCATGAATTTGATGTCTGACCTGTATGATTAGATCCCAGTGAATCTTGGTCTCCGTATCCTATCTTATATCAGAGAAAGCACCTCCATATTTAAATGTGATATTGTCAGGAGATTTATACATGTTCTAATAATAGTAATTTATGAAAATAGGTAAAGGGCGAATTTAGTTTGCAGGATCAATTCAATGATTAATACTTAATAATTAGATATTCTCTTGTAAACAGTTGAGAATAGAGCTGATAGGAAAGTCATAATGTGATTATAGCAAAAATAAGTTTTAAGTTACAGGATACTAAGTTCAAGGTAAAATATACTTACAAACTTTGAGTGCATTTTAAAAAACAATTTACCAAAGAAAGGTTAAATATGGATAACTTTGTCAAATATACCAAAAGATGGATTTGCTGTCCTTGATAGCTATCATGCTGTGTTAAGAAAATAATAATATTATATGTTACATTGTAAAGTTGAAACCGACAAAAATAATTGCCAAAGACAATTCCTGCTGTTTGTTTTATGCTGTCGAGGAGGTCTGTTCTCGAGTCATACTGCAGTTGTATGTATTTGAATTAGTAAAATCTGATTGTATCTTCACACAGCTCATCATTACATCTTCCCCCTTAACTTTCTTCATGGTTTCCTTTTGAGTGATATTCAGTTAAATTCAAAGGCTGAGTTATCTTTGGAGATAACCATCACTGACCACGCTAACATTTATTAGTCCATGTTATTTTCTTTACAATCTTCATGCAATTAATTTGTTTGCTTCTTTGCCTTTCCTCTTTCCACATAAACAGCCATTTCACTCATGTAATAAATGCCCAGTAAATAATTATTCAAAAACTGTTGAGTGAACCAAGGGCACCTGAGCACTAATCCTCTAGGAAGAGTGTCATTTAGATTGGTTATTATTATATGCGAATCTGAACTTAAACAGTTTTTCTTCTTGAAGACCTAAGGTCAAGTAACATTTATAGTGGTGAATAAACTGTGATCTAGATATCTACCTCCCCAAATCATATTTACATACATATTTACATTTAATTCACATAATCCACATCAATTAAAGTATAACAAATTTGTCTCTTAATTCTGTAACTCGTATTATCTGAAACAAAAACAAAACCCCATCCTGTCAATTTTAAGTTAGTAATGAGATGCCACTAAGCATAGAACTGGCAAGACATGGAATTCATCTGTTCTTATGAGTCCATGGAGATGGGGCCAACACACAGCTCTCTGGATCACCCCCCACTTTGAGAGTGGAGTGACAGGTGCTCAAACCTCTTTGAGACAGAGACCTCTTTGGTCGTGATGTCATCACTATATATGGGCATTGTTGAAGAGATCTGAAAGCAGAGGCTCTTCCAGTCAACGTTGGTATTCTCAGAGGGTTAGTGAGGAATCTGGAGCCCACAACTTCCCAGCAGTAACAGAAAGAATCCCACCCAGGTTGTTGATGGCAGAGTAAAGAATATGGCTTTGGTCCCCACCTGGCAGTACCCCTCCCTTACTTATCATCAGACATCCAGAAGAGGCCTATAAAGACAATGATTTCAATAGCATTTAGGTTGCTACAACAACAAAATACCCCAATTATGATAAAATTAGTATGATAAGAATTAGCATGATCTCAAATGTAATAAAAAAGATGACAGTCTTAGTATCAAGATGATACATACATTAGATTTTACTATAAAGATTTTAGAGCATCTGTCATAACTATTCTGCAAAGAAATTAAGAACACACTTGAAACAAAATAACATAGAACAAAGCCTCAGCAAAGAGATTGTAGATAAAAGAGAAATATAAGAGGAAATTTTAGAATTTAAAAGGCAATTGCTTAAAAAAATACCTCCATAAATGGGTTTCATGGGGGGACAGGTTGAATGGGAAAGGATCAGTGAACTTGAAGGTAGAACAGCAGAAATTACCCCAATCTAAGCAACAGAAAAAAATGCGCTGGGGAAAAAAAAAAAGTAGTAGATATTGTGGGACTGTAACAAGAGATCTAATTGTGATGTCATTAGAATTCTTAAAAGATGGAAGTAAGAAGATGGGGTAAAACAGCATTTAGCAAAAACCCTAAACCAATGGATTAAAGAAACGTTATTCATCTTTAAGGTATAAAACTAGAGAAATCCGAACACATAATGTTGGAACTTATGGATCTAAAGGAAAAGGAAAACATCTTGTCATCAACTAGAAACAAATGACATATCACCTGTAGGAGAGAAGCATTTGTAATGACAGCAGATTTCTCACCATATTTAACATAAGAAGGAAATCATCCAATATCTGTCAAGTGTTGAAAGAAAAGAATTCTGATGCAGAGTTTATATTCAGTGAAAATATCTGTCAGTGATGGGGAGGAAATCACAATATTCTCAGATGGTAAACTTAGAATTTTTTCCTGGCATAACTACCCAACAGATTGGCTATCGAAACTTCTCTTACCAAAAAGAAAAATGATAACTGAAGGAATCTACAAACATCAGGAAGGAGTAAAGAGCATCAGAACAAAATAGAACTACAGGAACAAAAAAAAAGGATAAGTAGGAATTTTACTATCTCTAAATGACTTTTGATTGTTTAAGCAAACCCTTCACTAATGTAGCTCTCAATATTTTAGAGTAGGTATTTAAGAGAATTAAATAAAAAATAGGAAGAGTAAGGGGAGATAATTATTCTACATTTACCTAGAAAATAAAAGGGTAGCTGAACATGATGGAACATCTAGAGCAAATACTAAGGACTTTATAAAATGTATCCCCAAAAAGCACAGAAATTTAAAAATAGAAGCACAATAAAGCAAGCTCAATGAAAAAAGGGATCTTTGGAAAGAGCAATAAAGTTGACATTTACTGAGATTAACACATTAAAGAGACAGACAGTTTCACTAGTAGTAGGAATGGAATAAGAAGTATCAGTACACATCTTGCAGACATCGAAAACTGTCACTAATGCTCCACACAGGGATTTACAACAGGGAGGAAATGCAGCGCTTCCTCAAAGAGTATAAGTTGCCACAATTCACCCTATATAAAACATAATGTGAATAGTCTTAGAATTATTAAGAAATTTTAATTCATAATTTCAAGCCTACTGAAACTGAAATCTCCAAGGCCAGATGGTTTCATTACAGAATTCTGCCAGACATTTAAAGAATAATTAGCACCAGTTCTGCATCTCTTATAGAAAATAAAAGAGGAAAGAAGACTTTCTAACTCGCTTTATGGCAGTATCCCCTGTCACCAAAACCAGACAAAGTCGTACCTAAGAAAGCAAGGGCAGACCAATACCCCATGACTATGGATGCTGATATTGTTGGTAATATTTGGACAAACCAAATACCAAAGACCAAGATGCTTTCATTTCAGAAATATAAGCTGGTTCAATATTTGAAATCAAACAATGTAATCTATCTTACTAATAAACTAACAGGAAAAAAATCACAAGGATGTTAGTAATGGATGCAGAAACTGACCTCAGGCCCATTCATGGTAAGTACTAGAAAACTAAAAAAATAAGAGAGTTCTTCAACTTGAAAACAAACATTAACAGAACAATACTTATCACAGCTGGCATCCAGCTGCTGACTGCATTCCCCTAAGGTCAGGAACAAGACAGGATAAGGATGTCATTATGGGTTTCTCCATAGAATTGGAAAGTCTAGCCAGTGCAATAAAGCAAGAAAAGGAGAGAACTCAGAGCTGTTTTCTTTGTGATCGTGTGATGATTTACAAAAAAAAATAAAATGCCAAATGAAACACCACTTCTAGAACTATTATGAATCCAAGAAGGTTGCAATATGTAACATCAACATACAAAATTAATAATATTACTGTTTTAGAAGTGAATGTGTAGACATAAAAATAAAAAAGCAATATTTACAGTTGTTCATAATGTATAGATTTATATGCTCAAACTACAAAATATTAGTAAGTGGAGCATTCCTTTAAAATTCAGTAGACAATTTGAACAAAATTTCCATACCTATTTGTAAGCAGTTATCTGTGCTGTATGAATTTAAGACTTCTTTTAGTATTTATGGATGGTAGAATGTAACCACTTGTCAAATCCATAAAATAATTAATAGAAAAATTAAAGAAATATGAGACAGAGGACAACAGTAAGCATAAGAAATTACAGGAAATTAGGATCCAAAAAAGTAAATATAAATCAGGTATTTTAAACCACATTCTTCTTTATGATATTGAGAGCTATTTTCTTTAAGACACTGTTTGGTAGCAGGTTTATTTTTAACTTTTTTTGGTTAAAGTTAACTTCATGTTAATGAAGTATTATTATTTTGCAGCCTTGTTAATATGGCCAGTATAGGATTTCTTCCCTGATGAATAGCTAAATAAAATGTAGTTCATATACTCAGTAGAATATTATTCAGCATTATGAAGAAAGGAAGTACTGACACATACTACATACTGTACTTCTGTCTCAGCACCGGGGTAAGGGAGGAGAGGCACAGGAAGAGAGAGAACTGTGTTTTAG